CTCCTCCCTCCTCCTCCTCCTCCCTCTCCCCTCCTCCTCTCCTCCTCCCTCCTCCTCCTCTCCTCCTCCTCCTCCTCCTCTCTCCTCCTCCTCCACATCCCTCCTCATCCCCTCCCTCCTCCTCCTCCTCCTCCTCCTCCTCCTCCTCCTCCTCCTCCCTCCTCCTCGGTAGCCGTTCTGGCTCAAACGTCCACTGGGGACGGCCCGCAACCGCTGACTCACCGAAAGTGCCATGACCCGGGGCAATTGCCGCTACGCGGCGCTTGGGGAGGACCAGGGCTGGAGCTCGGCAACGATCCACTGCTTGGGCATCGCTCCCAAGTCGGCAAGAAGGGTAAACCTTTGAGCAAGCTGTCAACCAGAAGTTCTGGGCACACCAGATGCCATCGCTTTGGCTGGTGCTTGCGGTGTTTGTTTACGAGGTGCATCAGAGTTGTTCTGGAATCTGCTGTGTGATGGGTGCGGTTCGAGTTCCAGCGTTGTGTCGATGGTGTCTTCTGTGCTGGAAGTAGTGCCGCAGTGCCATGTAACCCAACCTTCCCACTACTTGGAGGTAATTCGACTGTTTCACGCCCGCAGTTCCCTACTCAACGCGCAAAAGATCCTAGAGACATGGATGCGGCACTGCGAGATGGATAATAATTGTCCTAAGTGCATGTTTCGCTAGCTTGTAACATCGTGGAGTACATGTTGTTCACAACTTGCTCTGCTTCACTGATTTCAAGCGATGCGCTTTCGGAAAGACCGACAATGAAAGAATCGGTTTCGTGAAGTCGAGCTTCCGTGGTGGGCGGGTGCTGTTCTGCCTTATGGTGGCGTGGCTCACCATCGTGCTCACAATTCACATGGACTTCAAGGGATGCGCTTGTCTCCTGATTCGCATCGCGAAGGGGTCCATTCCATTCCATTCCACTTCTGCTTCCCCCTCCTCCTCGCTCACCGCTTCTTCTCCTCTTCGCTAGTATGGACTATGAAGAAAATCAAATACAAACCGACATACCACAAGGGGGGCGGTCAAATCCGGGCGGGAGAATCCTAAGACTTCTTGAGAAAGAAAAAAAATGAAGTGCGATCCACAATGTATCTGCGAGGTGAAGTCACAATTGACTACCGTGCACCGCGCCCACCTCCCATGCTCGAGAATTCAAAACCCACCAACCCGCAACTTGGTTTGCAAATCCCCTGCGGCGGCGATTGCGGTGACTGTTCGGCGCTGGCTGGCGCATCGCTGCGGCAAGGACAGCGCGCACAGGCTCGCGCGCAGAGCGGCCAGCTAGTCTGGCGCGACCAGCGCGGCCGCAACGCCGCTGACCGCTGGGAAGGAACTTCCAAGCGCTTCGCAGGCCGCGCTGACGCGAGGACAATTCAGTGTGAGTCGGTGGCTCGGGCATGCGCGGTATCGTGGCGACGTCGGCAACAGCAGACACGACGATGATGTAGCGATGTTGGTGACGGTGACGACGATGATGACGGCGGCAAGGCCAATGACGGCGCCGATGCTGATCACGCCGATGACGATGATGGCGTCTCTGCATCGGCGATAGAAGTGTGGAAAGGATTTCAACATGCGCGCGCGGCCGACGCGGGCGAAAAGCCCGCATGGTGTTACTTGACAAGGATCGTGCACGCCGAGCGCCGCGCAAAAGCGTTCGGATGGTTTCGACATGCGTGCGCGCGAGAGGCCCGTGCCGTCGCATACGATTACAATGATGGGACAACGCTGGTTTTCTTGGGAACTCGCGAGAGGGTGCGCGCAAGCGTCCTTTTGACAACGCATGGTGCAACACCATTGGTGTGTTGATGCGTTTGCGACACTCGGCGTTGAACTCCAAGTGACCCCTATGTTTTGCATGCGCGCGGGACGGCGCGCGCGCGGACATCGTCCCAGATTTTGCAAAAAGGATTCTTCCGTTGCTCATCTTATCAAACGAGTGTGCGCTCATATTTTTCCCAATGGACCACGGGGCCAATCGATACCGACCTGGCTGGGATGGTATGACCTCATACCAAAAATGAGCGCGGGGCAGAATCCAGGGGAGGTGAAACACATTACACCAGAGAAAAAAACCTACCAGTGGATTGTCTCAACATTCGTGTTATGGAGATTGAAATCGATTGTGAGATCAACAGTGAGAGCGATAGAGGGCTCGATAGTGTAGACGATAATTAGGTCGATCGTTAGACCGATTGTGAAGTCGGTTCAACAAGATCGATAGTGAGATCGATCGTGAGGTCGCTTAAGGGATCTATAATAACAACGACTGAGAGATGGATGACATCGAAGATGAAATCGATTGTGAGATCGATAGGGAGGCGGGTAACGAGATCGATAATGAGACAAACCGATAAGAAGATCGACTAAAAAACCGGGAACATGAAACCCGGAAACCCCGCCGCCCACCGAAATCGGGCCAGAACCAACAACCTGGAACCCGGGAACCCAGAACCGGGATCCCAGGAACCCTGTGGCCCACCGAAATCGGCCCCGAACCTTCGCCAA